TGGTGGAGGTCGTTGCGTCAAGTGTGCGCGGAGAGGAGAGGGGAAAGGGAGAGCAAGGGAAGGAGGCACCTGCCGGTGGTGGCTTGCGGCCCGGCCCTTGCGGGTTTGGCAGGCAAAGAGAGGCCGGGTTTCTCGGGCAGACACAACCACGAGTAGCCGATAGGTACGGCCACGAGTCGACGGTGAAGGCGCTGCTACCACGTATCGATACGGTTGTTTGGTTTTTAGTTCATGCGCGAGATGAGCTTGGAGATCTGGTTCTCGCGGTTACCGGCATCACCACCCTCGATGTAGTGGAGGACCTTGGTGCTGAAGCCGCCCTTCGGCGACGAGAGCTTGAACGGCCACAGGAAGTTGTTGACCTGCTTGAAGTTGGGGCCGACGGTGTAGATCTCGTGAACAATGTCCTCAATGCAAATGACGTTGTACTTGCCGAGCTGCTCCTCGATGAGCTCGTTCGACGAGAGCTGGATGCGCTGGCCGTTGATCTTACCGTAACCGCGCTTGTAGATAAGCTCGCGGACGTTCTTGAGCGACGGGTAACCGTAGGCGACGTACGGGGTGACAAGGCGCAGCATCTGCTCCGAGGCGCGGTTGAGCTTGACAAACACACCGTTGTGGATCTGGCGGAGGCGCAGGAGCTGGAGGACCTTCTTGGTCTTCGGGTCGACGCCCTGGGTACCGCGGATGCGGATGACAAAGGCGAGCTTGGCCTCGGGCTCGACAAAGTAGTTGCCGGCGGACTTGGCGACACGGCGGAGGGCAATGAGCGAGCGCTCGCGCGAGCGGTACTCCTTCACGTACTTCTCGGCACGCTTGAAGGCCTCGGCGTGGCGCTTCTTGTTGGCGACCTTGCGCTCGGCAACAGCCTTGGCCTTGGCGGCGCGCTGCTCCTTGGAGATGCGGCGCTGCTTGAGGACAGCCTCCGGAATCGAAGCACTGTGTAGACAAGAGGTCCAGGCGGTAACAAGGGCGGGGCAAGAGGGGGAAAGGTGAGTCTCGGCGGAACGCGGTCGTCCTGCAAAGCCCACTCTCCGTGCACAGCCGCGCACTTCCTTCCAACGGTCTTCGGGTTGCATTCGACGGCTTGAGCCCGAAGCAATAAACATATTTCATCAGAGTTGGCAAAGCGAGAAAAAAGCCCAACTGCGGCATCAGCACCACACCCTGCTTTGCTCTCGTATTTCCAACAAGGGCCAAGCAAAGGGCAAGGGCTGATCCAGCAAGTCCGACATTGTCCGCCATCAGCCAACAAAGACATACTCTTGCAAGATGCACAGAAGCAACGCAAATTAAAGTTATCACATCCCTCTGCTGCCTCGACAAGCTGGCTACCAGCTGCACCAATCCTAGGAAGATCCCAGGCCAAGGCCAGCCCAGCACGAGCTTGTACGAGCACAACAGCAAAATGGATGGCCACAGATTTCAAGACAAAGACAAGCACTTCCACCTCGACGGCGCCATGTACACAGTTGCTCGAACCATCATAGTCCCTTTCTCTCGATCGGCAGCATGACAGTGCCAACCATAGAGAGATAGAGATAGAGATAGAGAGGGCCGGGATCCATACACACAGCGCATACCATTCGGTGGAGACTACGTCTTACAGTCTCATCCTCCGACACATCGGGGCGGACCTGGACGAGCCAGGTGCCCCGCAAGATGCCGACATAGTTGCATGGTCACATCGAGCACGAGACTATGACAAGTAGCAAAGCACGGGTGCTTGCTGTTGTCGCTGTCCGTGCTCGGTCAAAAAGTTCCGGGACGACAGGGGGGGGGAGGCACACGGGCACAAGGGAGGAGGGGGAGGGGGGGAGCAAAATAATGGGCCATCCCATCCGGTGGCTGGAGGTGGGCCAGACATGCCAGGGACAGCCATGGGCCACCTCTACAGCCTACGGAAAGGTTGGTGATCGGAGCGAGCGTGCGTAGCAGCTGCGCCGTAGAGAGCACAGGCGCTTGGGTGTACGGATGTGCGGGAGCCAGCAGCAGTATATCGAGGACAACGCTGCGGGTCCCCCCTCACACAAAAACCAGCCATCATCGCCACACAGCGGGAGGACAAGCAAGGCACAAACGGGGAGGATACAACAACCAAGCCATCCACAACCACCTAGGTATGTTCCGGATGTACTGTGGATGCGCTGCTGTCAACGGCAGCGTTCTCTCTCTTCATCATGGCGGTACGTACCCCTTGGACGACATGTTGTGTGTGTGTGTGTGAGTGTGAAGTGGTGCCGGTCAATTGGGGCAAAGCGGGAATCGTTCGTTGGCGAGATTGAGACTGCCGAAAAAGTGAAAAACATCCAAATCCAGCTCGCGCGAATCACCGCCTTCACAAACCACCCAAACTCGTTGAGCTCGGCGGTATACACGGCAGCGACCACCGATGAGAGGGAAACAAAGCACTACACGAGGTACATGTCCAGACACATCATATTCTGGTCTTCCTACCACCTGCAAAAACATCTGATCACTCTCCGTAGGGCCGATCGAGTCCGCCCCCTCCTCCCTCTCTGCTCCCCAGTACGTGACAATGATTCAATCCTGTGATGATCAGGTTGAAGTCAAAGTGGGTTGGCCAAGTCAGCTTGCGACTCACCGACTCTTCCACCTGTCGACCAGCAAGCCATGAGCAGCGACGCGTCTGCTGAGGAGCGGCGGAGGGTACGCAGAGGGACACGGAAGAGGGGATGGTTCAGACTGCTAGGGGAGGAGGGGAGGGGGAGGGAAGGAGAGGAGGAGGGAGTTGTGCCAGGTTTGCGAGTTGGGCATGGGGAGGTACAATGGGTGGGGCGGGACGGGAGCAAAGGAGCATGCGGCGCCAAAAACTGCGGGGGGTTGGGAAGGCAAGCGGTGGATGGAGGAGGTGGCGAGGGCTGGCACTCATGAAAGAGAGCTGCGTATGTTGAGCCGGCTGGTGTAGCTGCTAGCGGAGAAGCGGGAGCAGCTGCGGAGGCTGCAGGAGGAACACAAGACTCGGCGGGAGGAGCTGGCGAGAAAGGCCGATGCAGTGGCCGGACGGACGCCCGTGGCTACTGCTGATGCTGCAAGCGGGACAGATGGTGGCGAGGCGAAGGATGCTGGCGCTGCGTCGCAAGAGAAAGGGAGAAAGGGCTCGCGGAAGGCAAGGGCGGGGCGAGGAGGCAAGGGCGAGGCCAGGGGCGACGGAGCCAAGACCAAGGGCAAGGGCAAGGCCGGGACCGGTAAGGCGGTAGCGTCCAAGGCGGAGCCTGTGACCGTGGACGAGCTTGTGCTGTCAGCGGTGGGTGACGTGGATCCGAGCGGCAAGTCGCGGCGGAGGCGCAAGGTCGAGCTCTCGATGGAGGTGGTGGCCAAGGTGGAGGCCGATGTGGCGCCCGACGTGCGGGAGCAGTACTCGCGGGAGATCCAGACCGAGACTACGCTGGCAGACCTGGTCCAGCAGGAAGCGGCGGCGGAGCGGCTGACCGAGCTCGAGGCCGCGGTAGCCGACGCCGAGGCCGAGGCGGCGGCGGCGGCGGCCGAGGCCGAGGCCGCCGACGCGGCGTCGAAGCGGACCATCTCGCTGCAAGAGCGCAAGGCGGTGCTCGAGTCTGAGAACTTTCTCTCGTTCTTCACCAAGGCGTCATCGTGGATGAACCGCGCGCTCAACGAAGAGTACGACATCATGGTGGACTACACGATGGACTACGCACGCGACGGCGGCGGCATGTCGCTGGCCGACTCGCTGACGCACAGGGCCGTGTTTGCCTCGGACCGGTGGAGCCGGCACCGGTCGGTGACCTCGCTCGACTGGTCGCCGCAGTTCCCGGAGCTCTTTCTGGGAGCGCTCAACTCAAACGAGATGGATCCGCTGGAGCCCGGCGGAGGCGTGCTGGTCTGGTCGGAGCGGACCGAGGAGGCGCCCGAGCTTGTGCTGCTGTGCGAGTCGCCTGTGACGGCCGCCCAGTTCTCGCCGTTCAACCCGCAGCTGGTGGTGGCCGGCACGTACTCGGGCCAGGTGGTGATCTGGGACATGCGAGTGCAGAAGCGGACGCCTGTCCTACGGACTCCGCTCTCGTCGCAGGGCCACACGCACCCGATCTACGCGGCGCGGGTTGTTGGCACGCCCAATGCCCACAACCTCATCTCGATCTCGACCGATGGCCGGCTCTGCTCGTGGACGCTGGACATGCTCGCAGCGCCGCAGGAGGTCCTCGAGCTGACCAACAAGCAGCTGAAGAAGCCCGTGGCTGTCACGGCGCTCGACTTTGCGGCCAAGGAGGCGAACGCGTTTGTGGCCGGGGCCGAGGACGGCTCAGTCTACGCCGGCTTCCGACATGGGGCCAAGCAAGGCCTCGACGACGCCCGCGCTGGGCACTTTGGCATGGTCACGGCGCTGGACGTCCACCCGCCTGGCGGCTCGACAGACTTTTCCGAGCTCTTCCTCTCCTCGTCCATGGACTGGTCCGCCAAACTCTGGTCCATCGGCTCGCCCGAGCCCATTTACTCGTTCGAGGACGCCCATGACTACATCTACGACGTCCAGTGGTCGCCTGCACACCCAGCGCTCTTTGCCACCGGCGACGGTGGCGGCTTCCTCGACATCTGGAACCTCAACGCAAACTCAGAGGTTCCGCTGGTCAAGGCCCAGCTCCCCACCCCGGGTGCCTCCATCTCGCAGCTCCGCTGGTCCGCCGACGGCACCCGCATCATCGCCGGCGACTCGCTCGGCTCGGTCCATCTCTTTGACGTTGGCAAGGAGATCGCAGAGCCGGCCGCCGACGAGTGGTCGCGCTTCGAGCACACCCTCTCCCAGCTCCGCCGCGTTTAGCCGCAGCCATCCCCGTCGGAGCGAGTTCGCTCCACTTTCATGTAAAAGCCATCCGTGCCGATGAACCAAGTGACGCGCTCGGCCCGGCCTGAACCGGGTAACTCTGGGCAGCGGCACCCAGCTCACCTCCCACTGCCACCCGTCTCACGAAGCTTGGAGAGTCGATCATGAACAATCCGAACACTGTTGCACTTGGTACGTGTACAGCGATCCATCACCATGACTTGCCCCTCCTCCCTTCCCCCCCCCCTCTCACGACCCGCCGCAGTGAGCGACTCGTAGCCTGCGCTGCATGCCGATGCCCTCCACCCGCTGGCCGCTCTGCCGTAACATCGATCTTTCCCCCTCACCACTCACATCCTCAACATAATATACATGATGTACAGGATGGTACGGATGAGTATAGCTGTTGCGATGAGCGAGTTGCGTGGGGCATGAGAGAGTGGGGATGGCGGGGGCCAGTGAGAGGGCCGAGGCGGAGTGACTGAAAAGACTCATGGCGCGGACGCGATGGCTTGGTATGGCTGGTCATGGCTCCGGGGGGGGAGAGAGATAGGGCTGCATGTGCGGCTGGCGTGGGCATTGCCTTTCTCATCGCCCGGCGGGGTATCAAAGAACGTGAGGCGCAGCACTTTGACTCGTGGGATCGGACCATGACCGAGCGCGAAGAGCGGCATCGGCGGGAGGTGGCGGCATACGAGGCAAGAAAAGCCCAGTCTGCAAGCCAGACTCCCTCCAGCCAGCAGGGAGCAGCTGCAGGGACATCATCGTCATCGTAGCTGCGGCGATGCATGCTCTGACAATCGTAAAGCTGGAACCGATGGAGGTGCGATCTTCCACCACCGCGTGCTCTCGG